TTAATTCACTCACGATTAATGCCGTGTTGTTTTAAGTTTCACTCACGATTACTACCGTTTTATTTTAAGTTTTAGAATTAAAAATTTACTGTATGTGCTAAAATGCGGCAGTCGTGAACTAAACTTAAACCGTCTCCAAATCACGCGTTATTAAACTTAGCGGGAATCTTTACAATGTTACCAACTGATTTTTTTCGTATAGCATATGGATATATTTGAAATGTTTACAACTACAATGTCTGCTTTTTGTTGGGATTTAAAGCACGTAACATTTTGTTAAGATTATTTTTTCGAGAATCGAAATTAATAACGCAAGTTGTTGTTTGCAGAACTAGCAAAAAATACTAGATAAGCAACCCTGTGCTTCGTATCCTTGCGGTCCGCATTTTTAACAGCAACAATGTAGTATTACATATTTGGGGAAATTCAATGTCACACACAATACTATCAGAAGTAAAAAATAATTGAACAGTTTTCATTATTGCTCTTTTAAACGGTAATTAATGAAGCTTTTACATTTCATGATTTTAACAATTTATAAGGATGAAAAAGAGAAAGTATACACCGTTTATGTGGTGCTGTAAGACTAACTAGGCTCAAAGCTACATTACATGTAAAACTTATGAATAATTTTGTTTGGTTATTAGCTACTCAAAAAGGGAATAAAATTGGTATAATAAAATAAATTCATAATTGGACTACAAATATATAAAAGCTATCGAAAATCTTACAGTTAAATACAACAAAAATATATTTAACGTAAATTTGTAACATTTACCCAAAAGAAATTGAACAGCTGACTTAAAGATGGAATAATACCAAGCCCACACACTAGTAAGCACAAATGCGGTAAGAAATGTATATCTTTTTTATCATTATCATAAAATATTTCACTTCCTAACTTAGTACCAAAATATATGTATTTTTATAATTAAATTTATTATTGCAACCCTGTCAATTTCTTTGTACAATCCGGCTTATATGCGAATTTGTGTTAGCAAGAAAATTGAGCGTCCAATACTTTGTTTAGTTTTCATATAAAATGGATTTTAACATTTAGAAGTTGGACGAAAACAGTTATATTTTTTTTACTATTATTTTTATGCTTTGCAGAACTGTGGAGCTGATGTGAAAACATAAAAATAAGAATCTATACCACTTATGAACATTTAAAGCGGAAGTCGTGCTCTTAATAATTTCTATTTTGCCAAGAAGTAAAGAAAACTAAATATCTAAACGCCGATATGTCTAGCACCTCTTCTACCGACGATAGTGGAGATTTGTTCGATCCTCTTACCGAAGAGCTCCAAAATGTTCAATCTGTAATACATGTTACACGTGAAAATATAGATGCCCTTAATGCAAAGTTTGCAAATTTACAAGAGCCGCCTCCAATGTATATAACAGAATATCAAGAACTTACTTCGAAGCTTCATGATCTTTTCGTAAAGGAACATGAACTAATGGAGCAACTGAGTAACCAGCAAGAGGAAGCAATTAAAGTGGATCAACAAAAAATCCAGTTTGAATATACCAATCATCAACCCCAATATCAGAATCAGCAACAATCATCGCATCATCATGCACATTTACCATCAATTGATATGGTTTGTAAATTGTGTATTTGTTTTTTTTTTTTATTCCTATTCATATGGTACAATTTTTTATATTTAGACGGATTCTTATGCGGCAAACAGTAATAGTGGAAGTCGATGTAGTACTTTAACGCGACCACCAAAAGTGCTGTTGCGAGCTCATTTACCAAATCAACAGCGAACATCTGTTGAAGTTGTACCAGGTGTTCGATTACGTGATGCGCTTATGAAGGCACTTAAATTACGACAACTAAAACCAGACATGTGTGAAGTTTCTGCAACAGATAGTGGCCGCAGTATTATTCCATGGGACACTGATATTGGTTCACTCATGGTGGAAGAAATTTATGTACGCTTATTGGATAAATTTCCAATAATGACTCATATATCACACCAGTTCATAAGAAAGACATTTTTTTCATTGGCTTTTTGTGAGGGCTGTCGTCGTTTGCTCTTTAGTGGTTTTTACTGCAGCCAGTGTAATTTTCGATTCCATCAAAGATGTTCCGATAAAGTACCTACACTTTGTCAACAATTTCCAATGGATATTTCCTATTATCAACGACTTTTGGCTCAAAACCCTGAAAATTTTGTTGGAATATTACATCCTGGAAGGAATGCCATATTAAATCAAGGAAGGCACCCTCGCACAATTAGCCAACAAGATCGCTCAAACTCGGCTCCGAATGTGTGTATTAATCGACCATTAACAGAGGCGCAACGGTGTTTAGTGCAGAATCATGTTCCTTTACAGGTTACTATTGGAAACAGAATAATACAGGTTTTAACATTCTGATGGATATTTAATTTCAGCATCATGGTAGCGATCACCCTAATTCAACACAGGCTTCACCCACCGGCACGTTGAAAACTATAAAGCGACAAAGAGCTCGATCTGCAGACGAGAGCAATAAAAATCTTTTGTCACCTCGGGACGGAAAAGGTTCTGAAGAAAATTGGGTATGGTTTTTAAAATCGAATTGAAAAAGTACATTTAATCATACATTTATATACATTAAAGAATATCCAAGCTGAGGAAATCTTGATTGGTCCGAGGATTGGTTCGGGATCTTTTGGTACAGTGTATAAAGCTCATTGGCATGGTCCAGTGGCAGTAAAAACATTGAATGTTAAAACTCCAAGTCCTGTGCAGCTGCAGGCGTTTAAAAATGAAGTGGCCATGTTAAAAAAGACCCGACATTGCAATATTCTTTTGTTTATGGGGTGTGTCTCTAAACCCTCGTTAGCTATTGTAACGCAATGGTGCGAAGGTTCTAGTCTGTACAAACATATACACGTAAATGAAACTAAGTTTAAACTAAACACTTTAATCGATATTGGTAGACAAGTGGCGCAAGGAATGGATTATCTTCATGCAAAAAATATCATTCATAGGTATAAGATTCAGCTGTATATTCATCGAAAATTATTTTAATCTACAATGTTTGGTTATTTTTTTAGGGATTTAAAATCTAACAATATATTTTTACATGAGGATTTGTCTGTAAAGATAGGTGATTTCGGTTTGGCCACTGCGAAGACACGCTGGTCCGGAGAAAAACAAGCGAATCAACCTACTGGCAGTATTTTGTGGATGGCTCCGGAAGTGATACGCATGCAAGAACAGAATCCTTATTCCTTCCAATCGGACGTTTATGCATTTGGTATTGTTATATATGAGCTATTAGCTGAATGTTTACCATATAGTCATATCAACAACAAAGACCAAATTTTGTTCATGGTTGGACGGGGATTGCTTCGACCAGATATGACTAAAGTGCGTGGGGACGCCCCTCAAGCTCTCAAACGTCTGGCCGAGGATTGTATTAAATATGATCGAAACGATCGCCCACTATTTCGACCTCTACTGAACATGTTGGAAACTATGTTAAGGGCAATGCCGAAAATTCACCGTAGTGCTAGTGAACCAAATATGACGCAAACACAGTTACATAGTGAAGATTTCTATCAGTGCCCTAGTCCTAAAACTCCAGTTAACTTCAGTAATTTCCAGTTTTATAATAGTGCGGGTAATATCTAGCGATGCTGATCCGATATTACTATTGTGATAACAAAAATGAGGGACAGGCGATATCCCTTTTGAACGCTAAAAACTAGTAGGTATCTTTGAGCAAGGAAATTTTAAGTTATATACACGTAAAAACACATATACACAGTTACATACACTTAAAGTTTTCGGGCCATTGTTATTGACGGCAAAATATACTTAAAATAATATTTTATTTTCTCTAAGTCGGAGTTAATATACACAGTTATTGCGTTAGTAAAAAAAAACATTCTTAAAACCGTTTTCAGGAATTTTGCTGAACAAACATTTCTTGGCTTAAAGTTCGTTCATGTGTATAGATCCGAGTGTTTTTTCATTGAATTTAATAAGACATGAACCATTCGTCACCAATGGTGACTTATTGGTAACTTCGAAATTTTCGGCTTAGCCTGATATTTCACAGATGCTAATTAATAGAATTTATTACAGTTTTGTGAAACACTACCTTCGTTAAAGTTTTAAGTAGAATAATTAGAAGACAAGAGCATTTAATTGCGTTGAGATTGTAACTACAAAATAAGTAAATTAATATTATGTAATATGTAAATGATTTTAAGATATTAAGATTATATAAAATAAAAATATTTTTCGCTGGACAAGTTTAGACATTAAACTTGTAAATAAAATTAAGTTCAAAACTGATTTTATCTTTAATTAGTAGGTATATGTACAAAGCTAATACTTTGTGTAATATAAAAACATTTGAATTAAAAAAAAAAATTATGGCATCCAGTGAACTAACAATGTTTTATGTATTTGGAATTGTAATAGATTGTTGGAGTCGCAAGTTGCGATATGGTATTACCTAATGGTATGGATTTTATTTTGACAATATTAATTGCCACATCTGGCAATACTTTGAAACGATTTCCAATTGATGCTCCGAAATTTGTGATTTTTCGCGTGCTTAGAATATTAATAATATCTGGTTAGTGGAAAATATTTTGGGCTGTTTTAAATACGCAAAATAATTTTAAAAATCATAAAAAGAAAAGAACAAGTGTAGCTATATAAGCTTAGTGTTATTACCACAAGAAAACAAGTGAAACTACAAACGTTTTCGGTGCTGCTTTCGTGTTTCTCGTCTCCTCGTTTTCGTATGACTTTTCTCTATCTATTTTCCTCAGCGGTTACAAATGCACTTGTTTGTGTACATAGTATAAATCATCAACTTAAATTATTTAAATAAAGTTTTACTTATTTACTTTTTTTAATCGTCTACATCATTCACATTTTTAGTTTTCTGTAATCTAATATCACACTGTTCCTCTAAACGTAAGTAAATATAATTGAAATGCAATATTATAGATGTATACATAGTAAATATACGTACGTAAATGTGTATTCAAAATGGGTAGAGCAGATTGCGCAGGTTACCTCTAAAATACTAACGTTGTACAGAGTATATCGACTTAACATTTTTCTAAAAAACAGAGATGCAATATCATTAAATTGAAAACATGTGCGTTCCAACAAAGTTTGAGAGATTCGCCACTCCACAGCTTTTTTATAAATTAGTTTCTACAACTGTCACCTAAACATGAATTCAGGCGACGGTGGGCTACCACATGTACCCAAATTGTAATCTATTAGGAACAGTTTGTTATTCGTAGCAAACCACACCCAGGTTTATCAAATTGTATATGTGCAAAAGTTTCATATTTTTTTATATTACAGTTGTTAGAAGGATTTAGTATATACATACGTACATCCACTATTATTCAAGGTTAAAAATTTTAACTACTCTGTTATGATTGGGAAACACGAAGTCTTACAACGTGAACTGGTAGCAATGAATGTAAAGCCTTAAGCAGACTTGTCATAAAAAGGATACCAAAGCTAATACACATAAACAACTAGAGTATACCTATCATAAGCTAAAGTATTGCAAAAGAAGAGGAAATTACATTAGTATCAGATTCCATGAATGCATACGAAGAATGTTCAAGTGTCGCTAAGTATTTTCAATAGCCAATGTTATATACGATTTATTGTGATCCTTCAAAATTAAGTATATTAAAATAATACATTAACTATATTTATATGTGATACATTAAGAATATCCAGTAAGCATACCCATATTTGTAAATGTTTTGTTCAAAATAATGGTACCTAACACCGAAGGGTACATACAAAGTACTGAATAAAGTACCGGTCTTATAAAAACAAAAACTACCGCATGCAACATGATTTATACATGTGTTCTTTGCTTTAAAATAAAAACGACAGGCAAATATCTCATGCACGCAATAAGTATATATCTTAGGAACCAGTTATATTAATTAGGAGAAGGCAAATAGTGTCCTTCGATATAGTACTATTAACGACAAACTACCGTCACATGTTATATCCTTGAAATTTAAACAATTGGTTATTCATAAGCATAACTTTTGCTCATCTGACTACGTTTTTAGTTACGAGAAGAGAGTAGCAAAACAATTGTGGCGTGTCTGATTGCCTGCTGTTCATTTTAAGAGTATTTGTCAAAAGCACTGAGCTAAGGCTAAGCATCGAGAGAGGAAGGCACGCGTAAAACATATGTATCTGATTCGATAGCTTGGACGTTGCCCAATAATCAGTTTTGATTTTAGTTTTCAATTGAATCTCGTTGGCAGTGGAATTAATACGCTCTGTTTGCCTTCATTCTAGTAAGAAAATTCAATAACATGATTTTTCGCAAATAATTTGTACATATAGTACATACATATACATAAGTAAATATATAATAATATACATGCACAGTGTCGCTATTTGCTCAAATTTTATACCATTGAGAATATATTTAAAGATGAGTGGTTTTTCGTAATATTTAGAAACGGCATTAAAGCATTGCGGCGGACACAATATGGAAGACCCCAATCGTATGATGGCTCATACGGGCGGTATGATGGCTCCGCAAGGATATGGTATGCCAGGTCAGGATGATGGACAAAATACTGGAAACGAAAATGAAGTGCGTAAACAGAAAGATATCGGTGAAATTTTGCAGCAGATCATKAGCATTTCGGAGCAATCATTAGACGAGGCGCAAGCAAGAAAACACACTTTAAACTGTCATCGTATGAAGCCGGCTTTGTTTTCGGTGCTTTGTGAGATTAAGGAGAAAACCGGTAAGCGAAAATATTTTCTTTTCCTCGCTTTGCCGCTTATATTTTGGTTGTCAAATTTAAAATAGAGCAAAAACACAACCAATATTTGTTGATTTTCATTAATTGTTCTGCTTGATGTTTGCACAAGCAGTGCAAAACAACCTGTATTTGCTTTATCGCCAGTGTTCATAAAATTCAAAGCACGTCCCCAGGACTCCATAATGTAAGATTCTATAGAGTATTTAAATCTTCATGCTACAACCCCTATTTTTCCCATTTTCATTGGCGAAATGTAAGCTTATGTGACTTTATTGAAAATGTAGCATGTGTTTTGAATGGGTCAACCGCATTGTCATCGAAATCACAATTGACAATTTGTTTATGTACATATTACTAAACCGAAAAAATGAGCAAAAGGTGAAGTGGCAGGTTATAATAAAAAATATACAAGTTGGTTTCTAGATGGAAACTGGAATCATCAGATAGAAATCAAATAATTATTATTTTAAAGCCTATATAATGCTTTTAGTTATTGTAAAAGTATGTTTTTGAATTTGACTAGTAAACATATTATATACTAAAATATTAATTTCTAACTAAGAATTTAAGTTTGAAACATAATATCAATCAACATTTACTAGTTTTTCATATTTTTGAAACCATCATTGTTAGCTTTACGCATTTGCGAATACTTAATATATTCACATCATTGTCTCAGGATCTTTATCTTAGATGTAGTAATGTGGAAATCAAGAAGATGTTTTAAATGTTTATTCATTACTTTTCTGCTTGCATCGTTAAACTAAAGTTCAGCACCGCAACTCTGCAGCATCGATCCGGTTTAATATTCAATGCCTCCTGACTTCGTACTGTGTATAACAGGCATATGCAAATTGCATGTAATGTTAAACCTTGTCGCGCCTACTTGCTGTGACAGAATTTGTATTAACGAGACAATGCTTTTTCCATAAAGTTGCTTAAAATATACTCGAATAAACTATATACCTAATTTGTTTATTTGATATTCATATGTATGCAGTTAAATAATTGTTTTCTATAATTACGATAATACAAATGAGCGCGTATTGGTATGTTGGTTATTAATAAAATGCTCTGCTCAACAAAAGAGTTATATGAATAAAATATAAAAATATTCATATTCAATAAAAAAGTTAATCCGATATTGAAATTCTCTTGAACATCTCTCTGACCACACATTTTTTTTACTCAATGAGCATTTCTATGTATATTGCACTTCCTTAAAGTTCTACCTTGCAAATTTAATCATGTTTTGTGTGCAAATCTACATGGCATTTTAATAATTTCGCCAACTTTCATTCAGCTAGTGCGTGTGTTTCATTGACTGTGCATACTTTCTTATGTATGTATATTTACATATGCACTGTGAGAAGCGAATGTGCGAATCTATAGTGGCAACACAAAGGAATACAGTAAGAAAATGAAAGCTAAAGTTTTTTAATCTAATCTTAAATTGGCATTCAACTACTTTGCAAGCTCAGGGACCATCCCTGTGAGTTGTACGTGCCGATGGTTGGGGTTATGATGCGTTTGTATTTCTTGTTGTCTGTTTTTCCATTTCTGGCTTTTGTTCATCCCTTCAATATGGATAGCAAGTCACAATACACGGATGTGCGTTCTGAATGGTTGCGGACTATTTCGCACAAGTTTTAGATTAAATGATTTGGGTGTGGGCTATGCAAACGATGTAATGGTACAGGATGTTACTTTATGAGTACCTTGTTGGTCGCTCTGAGTAAAATGTTTGCAACATCTGCCGTATTGAGTTCTTATTTTGTCTATTTTTATTTGAAAAACGAAACAATATTATGCATATTGTCATGCGTACTTCTGGACCAAATGCAAATAAAGACCAAATCTCTTGAGTAACTGAGCAAATACAAATTGTGAATTAAATTTAATAATGGAGGTGAATCTGAAATGTTATGCGATTATACGAAGTGAAACAATAAAAAAGACTAAATGTAATATTATATTCAGTTCTTTATTATAATAATTAGCCCAAAATATCTGATTTTAGGCGGAAGAGCAAATTAGTGAAATGGCTTAAAAAGTGTATATTTAAATGTATAAAGAAACATAATGTATATGTTAATTAATACTTTAAAAAATTTCTTCTGCGAAGTCCTTTCCATTCGTAATACGCAAGAGGAAGAACCACCAGATCCACAGTTAATGCGTCTGGATAATATGCTTATCGCAGAAGGTGTTGCAGGACCAGAAAAAGGTGGTGGCGGTGCAGCTGCCGCTTCAGCAGCAGCAGCAAGTCAAGGTATATTCAAAAATATATATACTTTGCTTTGCACTAAATGTTTACTAAACAGGATCTTCCTTGTCGATCGATGGAGCTGACAACGCAATTGAGCATTCAGATTATCGAGCAAAGCTTGCACAGATTCGTCAGATATATCACCAAGAGCTAGAGAAGTATGAACAGGCGTGCAATGAATTCACCACACATGTTATGAACTTACTTCGAGAACAAAGTAGGACCAGGTGCGTAATTATAGTAAGAATTCAAAACAGGAATCTTAAGTATTTTCTATTTACAGGCCAATTACACCTAAGGAAATTGAACGCATGGTCCAAATAATTCACAAAAAATTCAGCTCAATACAAATGCAGTTGAAGCAATCGACGTGTGAAGCTGTAATGATATTACGATCTCGATTTCTGGACGCTAGACGTAAGCGTCGCAATTTTAGTAAGCAAGCTTCCGAAATTCTCAATGAGTATTTCTATAGTCACTTGAGCAACCCATATCCATCTGAGGAAGCAAAAGAGGAGTTGGCGAGAAAGTGTGGAATAACAGTGCGTTTATAATACGAAAATAATGTGTAACAAGTTATGAAATATTTTACATTTTTTAAGGTTTCCCAAGTTTCTAATTGGTTCGGTAACAAACGCATTCGATACAAAAAGAACATAGGTAAGGCACAGGAAGAGGCCAATTTATATGCTGCTAAGAAGGCAGCTGGTGCTTCGCCATATTCAATGGCTGGCCCACCGAGTGGCACCACTACACCTATGATGTCGCCAGCACCTCCACAGGATTCTATGGGCTACCCCATGGGCTCAGGCGGGTACGATCAGCAGCAATACGATAACAGTATGGGCGGTTACGACCATACTCTACATCAAGACCTTAGCCCTTGAGGCGGTTTAACATACCACACTTCACATGTATACGAGCAAAAGTGAACATAAAAAATCACTTGTGAAATATATTAAGATACATATTTTTATTATTAAGTTAAAAACTTGATATTCTTTGTCAATATCTTAATATTATAATGTTAATTTCAGACCAAGTATTCAATATTTTTACAATTCCTACAAATCATATAAAATTACTGATACCTTAACTTTTTGATTCCAATATACTTATTTCTGTTGTCCTAATCAATAACACACCCAGTTCATTTACCTAGGAGATCTTTTGTTATAAGCTTAAAAAGCATAAAAACTTCACTTTATATGTTCGTTTTTGCTCCGCAGTGTGTATACGCAATTAACAATAATGTATACGTAATATTGCATACGATAATATGTAGGCATCTATATATATATAATTTGAATTAAGCGTAACAATCTTTTATTGAAATGAAAATCCGTATACGAAACTTTAGATATAAATATTAACATACATCATAGTAATAAAAATATAAAAAACATGTGCAAATTCAGAAGCAGCTATCAAAATCTACAATTTTAATTGTATGGTAACAGCTAAAACAGCTAATTATAGAGTGCAAGTTCGATGATGTTTGTAGGTATGCATATAATATTAATACTTTGCCAAGCCCAAGTTTACGATACTTATATTTTTTTAGCACAACCTTTTAAATGACGATACATCTCAAAAAAGGTAGATAAAAAAAAGTTATACAAGCTAAAGCAAAAATCTCAATATGAGCACATTTACTTATCTATTACCTATGTACGTAACTATTGTACTTTTGGCCAACATTCTTCAAGTATTTAATAGAAAGTATTGTAACAAGTTCTCTAATATAACTATAAAAAGCATTACCTTCAATTTATAATGTGTAATTATTTTAAATTAATAAAGTATATAAAAATGTGGCAAACAATTTATCTGACTGTTTATTGGGTTCATAATGTGCACAGATTTATCGAACTGGAGACATGAATGAGAAAACCTGATGGTAATATGAGCGAAGTCTGACGTAGATACACGAATAGAGTGACTCTCACATTGAGCGCAGCTGTAAGCCGCATTGCACACACATTACGTGTCTAACTCACTTACCCACCCAGATACAGAAACACAGAGCGAATGAATGAAGATATTTACGCTTAATCATCTCAACTCAACCCAATAAACATATGCTATTGTGAGTTGGTGAGACACAGGTGAGCCAGTAACTTGGTAGTGAGCTGTCTTCCAAATCACGTCGGCTAAGAACCTGCCTACATTCCACAGTTTAAGTTATGGCGGCAGCCGTAACAAGTTATTTCTGATCGAGATGGCTTCAACGATTCAGTTACCTGCTGACTTTGGAACGGATTGGTTGTGTGTGCTCGTCGCAAATTATTTAGAAAAACAAGAAGTGTAATGGATTGAAAAGATCTCAAACGACACACGTATACATACACAAGTACAAAGTTGTATACGTACATAAATAAAGCAAATATTGGTCAGTGAATGAAAGAATTCTATGTGTGAATATTAGTAAAATATTAATATTACTTTTCTGTAACAACCACATTCATGTATGGAAATAAATATTCGTTCTTAAAAACGCACACAAATAAGCGTAGTGAAATCGGTAAAATACACCAAAAGCGTCAATCCACACGAAAAGAAACTATATAATCGGCCGGCTTAAATTTAAACATAAAAAGGAAATCTCCGTTTTGGAGCACATTTCCTCATATAATCCCACGATATTCTTGGTTTACAGCACAAAGGTGTAACGGTGAAGTCTATACATATTTAATAACGAATCGATTCAGTAGAATTTTTTTCTAGTAAATACATAGAAATATGCTATCGCACCTTAACTGAACAACAACGAACGAAAATTTAACTTCGTGGCAGTGGCTCATGCTATCGGAGCGATCTCACTAGTTTTCTGTGTATTGGTGTTGATCAAGTATGTATATTTATGCCCTGCTGTGACCTGATCTCATGTGTAAATACATAGTTTTATAGCTTGCAATTCTATTGTTTTCGTTTTTATTTTTATCCCACCTTTTTAGATAAATAAAAAATATGAAATTATGGAGGTTAAAATTATTGAACATTTCAATTTCTATGATTAAATAACTAACGAAGTATATAGACCATCAAATTCTTAATAATCTGAGTGACCATAATTGTGTTTTTTACAATAAAGCTGCAACTTAGAAATTCGTTTGTCCACAACCTAACTATATTTGGATTTATCTAAATAATCATCGAATAGCAGCTCAACCGTTAATCATGCGCAATAAATATTAGCGTACAAATGAACAGGTTCCGCTTCTTCAATGCCTTCTAGAAAAGCAGTGGCCACCAGCGACATCTAAATTGCAGTAACAGTTAACAGCTATATGCGCGTAAAAGTAAATAAAAGCGTATTAAAAAGGTCTACAATATTTAGAAACATAACTTGGCTATTACTATTACACTATTGAAATGTGCCCAACAAATAATCATTCTTGTATATGTGTTCGTAGTTATATTTCATTAACCTCATCTTAGGGCAAGCTAAATAAAAATATTACAAAGAGAGCGCTAAAGAGAGGTAGCAAAAGAGCAGGTGCTTCGTTTGTGAAACTCTAGTAGGAGAGGGTGGAGAAAGCTCTGTTTATCGGATTTAAAATGCGTCAATAGCTAATATGATTTATTTAATAGATTTGCAATAACATTAGTAAAAAAAAGGTCTTCCTTCGCTTCGGTTTATCTTCTTATTGTTATCAAATACCCATTCTTTTTATCACTTTTAAATTTTTAGCTTTTAACTTTTTTAGACGCTGTCGCAGTATAAAAGTCAAGTAATTGGTACTTCTATGATCCGAGTGTGATCACTATTTAACCGATTAACACCAATATGCGTGAGTATCAGCTACTTTACGGTGTAGCAAATTGTTGACCAATTATCAGTGACAGTTGTACTCATTGACTGAAAAGACAACAACACCGATCGAATGTTTTGCATTAAACGCAACATTGAGCGAAGATATATGGACAGAGAAATCGCAAAGGGCAACAAACTGTAGGCAGCTAATGCGCTGGCACATACAGAAGACAGATAAGGCTCGCGCTGTTACGCCGTCACTGTCTTTACCAACTTTCTTGCTTCCGTTGCGGCTATATTTATAATAGACTACCATACCATCTGCGGAACGGTAAATCAATTTGATGAGCAATCGGTATTGCTTGAATATAACACACTGAAGGTTTGAGGTCTGACAAAAAAAAAATTACAAGGCGCGTACCTTTTATTTTTGACTCATAACAAGGCATGTAGTTTCTGGGATAAAGCTTTTCAGACAATTTTTTACTATACTTATTTTATGTTATCGTATACCTTAACAGAGGCCTCTAAATTAGTAATTGGTTGTTTTAGAGTACTGTTATTGGCTGCTTTTTGAGTATTTCCATGTTTATTAAGTCGGGGTTACATATGGTCGCACTGAAATTTGTGACCCACTTTTCAGATTTTCTCTCATTGCTGTTCATCGATTCTCGATTTTTTATTTTGCTTCTATGTGTTTGCATTCGGTTTGAAATTTTAAAACCATAAAACAGATATTTGAATGGTTTTTTTGAAATACATAAAGAGTTCAATTCCACCGGTGCCTGGCAAGTTTGCATTACTCTTAATAATGCTAATCATCTCTTTTTAAGCTGTTTATCACGTATTTCTTAGCAGGTGCAAATAATTTCAATTCAATTATATTTGAGAAACTACAAGGGTATTTCATGCGGCCACGCAGCAGTTAACAATTAATATGGACTTCGAGAAAAAAGTGTATTGATTTTACTTTGCCCCGTCACCGTCGCGTGTTGAACTAAGCGTTAATAGCTGGTGTGCACTCAAGTGTTACTGAGTTAAAAACGATTAGCAACTTATGCCAATCTGATTCAGTGCCCAATGTCTAATTTCAGACAAGCAGAATGCACCAATGGCAATAACATTCAATTCGGATGTTTCATTAAGATTTTTTTCTTTTTTTATTTTTGTATATTTTTCATAAAACTTTTGTGTACCTATGTACATAAATATATACGTTTTGTTTTATTTTTGCATTATATGAATAGTTGGCACAAAAGCTAAGCAATGCACGAAGGTCTGCGGGCATGCAACAAATGAAACTGACTGCAAAATGAATTAATTCACTTTCTTTGTGCACGCGCCTTTTCTAAATGGTTATTTGACGTTAACTTGGGACGTTGCCCCGCAATGTTCACTATGAATGAAATACCAAAGTACAGGTGGATAAAGTAAATGGAATATATGTGGAAAAACTTCACATTTGAAAACTACGAATTTCCTTCTGAACACGACCATATAATTAACTCTTTAGTACATACTTGGTAGATTCTTGCCTTGAGCTTTTGTCATGCTTTATTTTTAGGTGGGGCATACAGTAAATAATTAACAATATTCGGCAGATGCAGACAAAATACGCCTTCGCCGCTCCCACTTTTATTACCAAACTTTAAGTTATGTTTGAATTACTATCTCAAAACTAGCTGCTTTTTGGAATTCAATACAATATTTGCTATACAAAGTGTACTTAAGGTTATATCAATGTGATTTCTTGATTCACACAATATATTAATAATATTAGTAAATATTTACTTTAAAACCATATTTCATTTTCTGATCTATTCTTTGCCAACATCAAGTGCTGATATTTTTGCTTTGGAATGCGGTCGAACAACAATGTTAAACGGTGATGTTCAATGGTGGCGCTCCCAGTTGAAGCAAAACCAACTCTCTGCGTCGCCCGAAAATATCCTCTCTTCAAACACACCACTTGTATCATTGTATTGTACCAAGTAGTTTACATAGCTGCTGTTCAAAGAGCATTTAACACTCAAATTTCAGCTGCTCATAAAAACAAGTTCTGCACCGATTCCGGCTTTACTCTGTCCGAAGATCGGTATGCATACGGTTAGACTACGTGAACTCGAAAATCTGCCAGTTTGCATTCTTAATATACGAGTGAAGGCATTTGACAAACATTTTTCGGTGTTTTGTTATCTAAGCACGATTTAACGCAGTGAAATGTGTAAAACCTACTTCCACAATTAACTCGAACCCAAACAGGTGAAAGTTTTTTATATCTCGATTTCTTGCTCATTGGTTTAAAGTGTTTGTCGAGGTCAGTGGTAGCTCTGATCACTGTTTAAAAAGAGTGTTAAAAGAGACAGAAATTAAATTGGAATAAACGATCTAATGAACTACGAGTGAGTGTGGAATATTAAAGAAGTCAGTGAGATTGCTGTTTAATTTCACTTGACAATAAATTGTATATACACAACTCTAACTGATAATGGGAATAAAAAAGGTCGGGAAGTTTGTGTCTTCAGTCTATTGATTTCTACAAACAGGCGCAAAAATAAATATATAGTGTGCATTAAGTTAAATGTAAATATGATCAAACAATTAATTCGGCGCAATATTAATTATTGCTGATTCAATGATTGAACTGCACCCATTTTGTGGTATATACTATATATGTCGTACCGCCTCCGATAAATATTCCAGCCCACAACACGAAATAATGGATCCACTCGGTGGGTGTCACTAGCAAAGGTGCATCATACATATCTATAAAATATTGAAGTTTGCCTATATCGCTAAGCAATGAATGCCCACACATATAAAAACATTCGTTTTTTTTCTCTTTGCTGTTTTGCAAACTTTTAAAAAGAATCTACCGAATTATAATTCAAATGAATGAATTTTTTTATGTGTATGTGCCAGTGGTGAACAATTGACGATGCGTAGGGTGACGGTGAAAGTGTGTAAATAGTGTGAAAGGTGTCAAAGCGACGTGAGAAGGTTTGTTTATTGGCTGGTTAACGATGGATTTAAGACGGATTTTTGTTAGCAATGTACGCGTTTGTACA